AGTCTCGCTCCGTCACCCAGGCTGGAGTGCAATGGCAAGGTCTCGGCTCACTGCAACCTCTGCCTCCCGGGTTCAAGTGATCCTCCTGCCTTAGACTGCAGAGTAGCTGGCACTACAGGTGCCCTCCACCACACCTGGCTACTTTTTGAATTTTTAGTAGAAACAGGGTTTCGCCACATTGGCCAGGCTGATCTTGAACTCCTGACCTCAGGTGATCCACTCGCCTTGGCCTCTCAAAGTGCTGGGATTACAAGTATGAGCCACCGTGGCCGGCCAGCCTTTCCTTTTCATTTTCCCAATTTTTAGAAACTGGTAGAATATATAGAGAGTGTGTGTAAAATTTCCCATCTTAAGCATTTCTGGCGTTGGGTGCTGTGAATGTGTTCACAGTGTTGTGTGACCACCCAGCCACGGAATCCTCGTCCTCTCACAAAACCAACACCATCCCCGGCGACAGCAGCTTGCCGTCCCCGCCCCGCACTCACCATCCCACCTTCTGTCTCTGGACTTCGCTGCTGGGGTGCCTCCTGTGAGTGGGATCACACAGTTGTCGTCTTGTTGTGACTGGCTTATTCACTCAGCAGATTCCTTGGGGATGTCGAGCCGTGGTGGGGGTCGGGGCGATGGAGGAGGAGGAGGACTGGCTGGCTGGCCGTGCTGTTTCCTCTCGGCCTCACTGCCTCCCCCCATGCTCCACGTGACTGTCTTGTGTTCAGTGGATTTTTTGGTAGAGAAATGTTTAAATTCCTCTCTCCTTTGATTTGTATTCTATCTCTTGACTTTGTGATTCCAGTGGCGATGACACTGAACATCCTGCCGTTACAAAGCGTGAGTTTGCATTAAGCCAGGTTAACTGCGGTAACCTACAAAAGCTCGGCCCGGGAGTGCGTATTCAGGGCAGCTTCAACCTGTGCTCGCAGGCTGCAGTCCTTTGAAAAAACACCACAAAGAAAACAGAAAACAGACTGCTCCTTTAGCGTTCCACCCCACTTCTTTCAGTTGACGTCACCAACTCACGTCTTTATACATTGTCCATAAATGACGACAGCTTTATGAATTGTCCATAAACAGAATCACTTTCTAAATGCGTTAGCCTATTAAACTACGTAGAAAACAAAAGGCAGAGTTAAAAGTCATTGTTAAAACAATGCTTTTTGGCTAATAATGTCTGCTTTTTTTTTTTTTTTTTTTTTTTTTTTTTTTTTTTTTTTTTTTTTTTTTTTTTTTTTTTTTTTTTTTTTTTTTTTTTTTTTTTTTTTTTTTTTTTTTTTTGAGACAGAGTCTTACTCTGTTGCCCAGGCTGGAGTGCAGTGGTGCAATCTCGGCTCACTGCAACCCCCGCCTCCCAGGTTTAAGCAATGCTCCTGCCTCAGCCCTCTGAGTAGCTGGGACTACAGGCAAGAGCCACCAGGCCCAGCTAATTTTTGTATTTTTAGTAGAGACGGGGTTTTACCATGTTGGCTAGGATGATCTCGGTCTCTTGACCTTGCGATCCGCCCGCCTTGGCCTCCCAAAGCGCTGGGATTACAGGCGTGAGCCACCGCGCCCGGCTAATTTCTGCTTTTTAAACATGTTACTCTTAACACATTTAAAGATGCCCTTCATGAATCTTTCTTTCTTCATCCAGCTTCAGGTTTCTGTCTGGTGTCCTTCCGTTGCACCCCACAGAACTTGCAGGAGCACATTCTCCAGGGCAGGTCTAGGTCTCGTGGTAATGAACTGCCTCCACTTTTGCGTATCTGGGAGTGTCCTCGTTTCTCCCTCACCTTGGAAAGAAAGTCATCTTGTTGTGTTTTCAGGCTCGCCGATGATCTCTTCCACCTGCCCACTTCTGCCTTAGAGTTTCCGTTGTGAACATGCACTTTTTAGCTCTCAAATTTCTCTCTGGTTTCTTGTTAGATCTTCTGACTCTATGGATATTCCCATCATGTTCACATGTCGTTTTCTTGATTTTGTCCACATCTAAGTCTTTGTCTAGGACATCTGCCATCAAATGATTTTCAGGGACTGCATCTGTTGGCCTATTTTCTTTCCCTCTGAATGGGACATACTCTCCTGTTTCTTTGTTTCTCTTGTGTTTTTCCTAGCCCAAAAATAGACATTTGACTCTCATATTGTGATTCCTCCTGGTCCCCAGGGTTTAGCACTTGTTGTTTTGATTGTCGGGGCTGTGGGGGGGGATCTTGTATGAAGATGAGGACTTCACTGGTCTTTTCCCAGCGCGCGCCTTTCCCTGGTCATGTGCAGTCACATTTTAATTTTCCCGTAAATACAGTTGTTTTTTAATGTTCTCGTCCTGAAATGTCTGCCTCCCAAAGGGGGGAAAGAGAGAAATGAAGTGGGGGAAGAGGGGCCCAGTCCTCATGCCGGTAACGCCTTCAGCTTGGCGGGGGCGGCCGCAGCTGCTGCCTCCTCGTGCCTCTGGGGTAGGAAGCGCAGGCATCGCACAGACCTCTAGGGTGTGGAGGATGGGTCCGTCTGCCCACCTGGAACCTGGGTCTGGCAGCTGCGTGCAGGCTGCTGCGTGCCGGGGGTAGGGGGCAGTGGGCTTGGGAGCTGCTCCTGTGCTAAGCGCGGACATTGACCAGAATTAACCACAGTTCACTCTCCAAGATTTCCCCTGAAGTTGCAAACCTTCTGTCGACCCCAGAGCCCCTCAGCAGTGCACGAGACTGATCCTGCCAATGCAGTTGTTGTATAGGTGGGGAGACTGATTCCCGGTGCTTCCTACTCCATCTTTCCAGAATCTTCTCCCACCCTTCCTTTTTGGCCAGTGAAGATGAGTCTGGAAGGTCCACCTGAGTCCTTGGGCTCACGGCCCCCAGGTTGGAGCTTTTTCTCCCTGGGCTTCTTGGACTCTGACCCTGACTCTGTTGGCGCCATGTGTGCGCCACGGGTGTGTCTGCCGGGTGTGGGTGTGGGAGATGAGGCAGTTGTGCCCGGGTGGGGCCTTTTGGGGAAGGCAGTGTTGCTAGTGCCGTCTCCCTCCCTGCCCCTCACGCCAGTGTCTGCGCATCACCGAACGATGAGAGAGGACTACAGCGACAAAGTGAAGGCCGGCCACTGGAGTCGTAGCCCGCCCCGGCCGCCTCGGGAGCGGTTCGAGCTGGGAGACAGCCGGAAGCCAGGTGAGGCCAGGCCGGCGCCTGCGCAGAAGCCAGCACCGTGTGAGTCTTTTCTAGGGGGTGTTTGTCATAAATGTGTAAGGTTCATTTAAGGAAAGCCCAGCTAAGTGATTTTTTCTTCTGAAGAAAATGGTAGCTGTGCTGGCTGCAGTACTCTCGTGTAGCGAGAGGGACGGAGAGCGCCCGTGTGCAGCCAGCTCATGTGTTTATCCGGTGGGATATTCGTGACGGCCCCATTGGAAGAGTGGCTCTTCTAGCATCTGTGGATGAGCTGGGTTTTTCTTTTCTTTTCTTTTCTTTTCTTTTTTTTTTTTTTTTCTTGAGCCAGACTTTCAATTTTTTTCTTGTGTTGTGTTTTTTGTTTTTGTTTTTGTTTAGACGGAGCATTGCTCTTGTTGCCTAGGCTGGAGTGCAGTGGCGTGATCTTGGCTCACCGGAGCCTCTGTATCTCCCGGGTTGAAGCGGCTCTCCTGCCTCAGCCTCCCGAGTAGCTGGGATTACAGGCATGCGCCACCACGCTTGGCTAATTTTGTATTTTTAGTAGAGATGGGATTTCTCCATGTAGGTCAGGCTGGTCTCAAACTCCCAGCCTCAGGTGATCCGCCTGCCTTGGCCTCCCAAAGTGCTGAGATTATTGCACCCAGCCGGATGAGCTGGTTTTCATACCAAGCGAAGTTAATCATTATGCAAAAGGCACTAGTTTTGGGGTGGTGGTAGCTTGTTTGTTTAAAAACATTTCCCCAATTCACCTTTAATGGTTTATTTCGTAAGTAAAAGAAGAGAAAATGGAAGAGAGAGACCTGCTGTCCGACTTACAGGACATCAGCGACAGCGAGAGGAAGACCAGCTCTGCCGAGTCCTCCTCAGGTACCTGGACCCACCTGGCTGAGGCCTTGACCGCTGCCACCCAGGAGGGCCCAGGTTCACCCTCCACTCCGCCATCTTTCTCCAGCGGAATCAGGCTCAGGTTCTGAGGAGGAAGAAGAGGAGGAGGAAGAGGAGGAGGAGGAAGGGAGCACCAGTGAAGAATCCGAGGAGGAGGAGGAAGAAGAAGAGGAGGAGGAGGAGGAGGAGACAGGCAGCAATTCTGAGGAGGTTTCAGAGCAGTCCGCCGGTGAGGCGCGTGATGACTGTGTGAGGTGCTGTGGCGTTACCGTAGTGTTAGAAACTGCAGAGGAACAGCCTGGCAGGGGAGGAGTTGAAACTCCCTTCTATCTGGGACTCTCAGGAGACCTCCACATCGATTTTTTTTTTTTTTTTGAGATGGAATCTTGCTCTGTTGCCCAGACTGGCGTATGGAGGTATGATCTCAGCTCACTGCAACCTCTGCCTCCTGGGTTCAAGTGATCCTCCTACCTCAGCCTCCCAAGTGGCTGGGATTACAGGCACGTGCCACCACAACCTGGATAATTTTTGTATTTTTAGTAGAAACAGGGTTTCACCGTGTCAGCCAGGCTGGTCTCGAACTCCTGACCTCAGGTGATCCACCTGCCTGGGCCTCCCAAAGTGCTGGTATTACAGGTGTGAGCCACTGCACCCGGACCCCACGTTTATTATTAAGAACACTTGTTGCTTATGTAGGGCTGTTGGGCCCCACAGGGTCGTGGGGTGTCCCTTATGCTGTGCTGAGATGCAGGATCCGAGAAGTAAAGAGACAGGACACTGAAGAACTGGTGAAGCGCATCTGGACTTGGGGTCCACAGCACCTGTGAGCAGAGATCAGCGAGAGCCCCAAATGCCCAGAAGCATCTGTATTTTCTGTATTTATTAGGTACAAGCAGGGGGCAGGGTCACGAGTGAGGTCATCATCTGTAGGCTCAGTAATAGGGCATACATAATCACATGAGTCACAAGCGAGGGAGCCATCCCGTTACGTCACCTGGGCAGATAGGTGGGCCGTGCGCAGTAGGGGGCCATGCCGTGCGCAGTAGCAGAGGGTCGTGTACAGAAAAGGGGTCCACCCCCATTAGGTGACCGAGGCAAGGAGGTGGGCTGTGTGCAGCAGGTGTCGTGCGCAGCACTTCTTATCTGGGGGCTGGAGGCTTCAAAGGGTTTCTAATAGAAGGATGCTGTAAGCCAGTGCAGTGGGAGCTGACAGACGTGTGCTCTTCTCTAAGATATTTATGGGAGGATGATTTGAGCCAGCACAGAAGCGAGAAAAGACTGACAGGGTGCACAGCCGCCGCGACTGGTCACACCAGAGGGGTTCTTCTCCCTCGGTTACTTCCAGGATCTCAGGCCTGAGGCCGACTTTCCACGGGAACTGGATGCAAGGTGCTACAACTCCTTTATCAGGAGGAGAGGCTCCTGCTCCAAGCCTGCCATACGGCGTTTGCCCTTTCAGGCAGGGACGCCACCGCCAGGGTCTTTGGCTCTCGTCCTGGTCTGGCTGTTTTCCCATGTACTGCTTCTGTTCTGTGACTGCTTCAGGCATTCCTCCTAGTACAAACTACTATACGGTTGTATGGAAGGAGTCTATAAATCAGCACTAAATGTGTCGGTACAGCTCCGACTACGATACCTGTATGATTATATAGGAAGATTACATGGAACTAAGTATAATTGTATATATAAGCTAGATATAAGTAAGTAGGGAGTTACGCTTCAGGCACTAATTGTGCCTGGGGTGCACAGTTCTCCTTCCTCGCTGCCCCTGGGGGTGTCACCCACAGCTTAGGTGAAGCGGAGCCCGCCCCTGCTTGTGGCAGTCTCGCAGCACTTGACCCAAGGCCGATCTGAGCAGATGCGTCTTTTCTTTTGCAGAAGAAGTGAGTGAGGAAGAAATGAGTGAAGATGAGGAACGAGAAAATGAAAACCACCTCTTGGTTGGTAAGAGGCACCCCTGGAGACAGGGCATCCTCGTCTGTCTCTGAGTGCACAGCCCGCTCTTAAGTCAGCCTGTCCTGCAAGGCGTGGGGCATGCCAGGAGCTGACCAGCTGGGAGGCTGCCTCATTCGTGGCCACTGCAGTCTGTGCTGGTGGGGCCAGCATCCCTCAGCGAGGCACAGTCCTGACCAGCGGCATCCTGAGTGCCCAGCAGGGAGAAGGATCTGGGAAGCACCCCCTGGGCCCAGTGCCCATGGGAAAGGCCAGTCAGGCAATGAGGGCTGTGTCCTCAGCCTGGGGGACACGGATCCAGGCTTGTCCCCCATGTGACACTGCACACCTCCTCCCAGCTCAGCATCTGGGCTGTCTCAGCCGAGCCTGTGAGGACTCGGTGCCCTGTGTCCAGGAAGCGAGAGCCCAGCACCAGCACCTCCCATCAGGCCACAGGACAGCCCTGCCAAGAGCTTGGTGCCTCCAGGGCAGGAGGAGGTTTGTGGTCCTTGCTTGTTACTAGCTTTGTAATTAGGTTCAACTTTTCCAGTTCCAGAGTCACGGTTTGACCGAGATTCCGGGGAAAGTGAAGAAGCAGAGGAAGAAGTGGGCGAGGGGACGCCGCAAAGCAGTGCGCTGACAGAGGGCGACTACGTGCCTGACTCCCCAGCCCTGTCACCCATCGAGCTCAAGCAGGAGCTGCCCAAGTACCTCCCGGCCCTGCAGGTCAGGGCCTCCCCCACCCCTGCAGCTCAGGCCCTCCCCCACCCCTGCAGCTCAGGCCCTCCCCCCACCCCTGCAGCTCAGGCCCTCCCCTCACCCCTGCAG